AAAAAAAACTGATCATTCTATCATTCGATAGATTGGTAAATGAAAAGTGAATAAAATAAGAATAGATGGTTAAATAAACAAGTAAATGCTTAGGTATTAGACATTTACCTGATAAAATACTGTATGCGAGAGGGTGCCATCACTTTTCAGCACATCGACCCTAAAGGTTCCTAGTAAGACATAAAATTACATGTACATTTGACTGAAATGCAAAAAAGAATATATTTTCTACCTATTAATATTACTATCATTTTTATTATTGTAATGCATTTTTCTCTAATTTACCTTCTGTCCTAGCTAACTCATGTATGTCACTGTCGCTCAGTTTTCTACCCTGATCCTGGTCAGTAAAGGAAACACACAGCGAGTCGTTGATGCAGTTATTGCGTACGCTTTGAAGGTGATCGTTGTTCTTTGAGCTGATACCCACAACTAAGGTCCATCCACCGCCTGGCGAATAACAAAATGAAGTATGTTGTTGCTCGTGTAGCCAAATGTCCTTTATAATGTAATTGATGTCTTCAAATTAACCTTTTCGTTATCTTTGTTCGATAAGTATAAACCTCAGCTAAGAAAACTATAGCAAGTATACAGATAGGACGCATCCTCGGTGATAAATTCTCCAAGAAAATTAACAAGATTTTTCACTACTTTAAGCTTAAGAATTTTGAAGGTAGCCTCGCTGAAAATATTTCTTGTACTAAGAGAAGACAAAAAAGATCAATTGAAATACATATACATATGCGAAACAACTAAAACTTAAATATCGGATACGGGAGATTGAAAAAGAACCGAGGCTAGCCGTTCGTAATGAAAGTGATGGTTCAACCTCACTGCGTTACACTTTATTAAAACTAAAACAACACTGCCAATGAGAAAAAAGCAGCAAAATAGCATATACCCATTCCTTTGCCTCACGCTCATGAAAAAACGAACAAGATCTTTCTCTATTTCTTTACCGAGCTCAAAAATTCACCATCTTTCTTATTCTTTTTGAAATTGATTTATTGCTTTCGATTTTATCCTTTTCTACCTACCATAATTTTTCATATCACAGTAGACGTCTTCCTTTCTATTCCGAATATCTATCGAGTAGTAGCCGCTTTCCGCATCAGGCCACTTATTGAGAATTTCCGAGCAAGATTTGAATTCATCAACCTGTAGATCATATGTTATAGATAGTTATTGGCCAGAATGCTTGAGCTACTCATTTTTCATTTTTTTATGCATGCCCTTTTCTGTTTACTTTATTTCACTATTACAAATTTAGAAACTCTATGGGCCACGCCGTATTTTAACTTGCAACCATCCGAACACCACGGTTGGTCGATAACACAGATGCTTCTTATAAATAAATTACCATATTGTCGGCTATTTGGGAGAGTATATATGTACTAGTTGGTCGTCATCACGAAGCAACGAGGCCTAAACGACAGTGAATGTTTCTCCAAAGTTTGGACAAAAGGCTGAACTACAGCGAGAAATCACACTTTTCTTTTCTTTTCTTTTTATAGAATTCGTCAAGGACATACCTTGTTCATATAAACTGATCCTTCCTTCGGACCAAAATCCCTTGGGTGAGTATGTTTGTTTGCATCATTCAAATCACATGACCATACTCTGAATATGTGGAGCGACGGCACTGCTCACTGGCTTGGCCTAGCTGCACATGCCATATGACGATGAACAGGACAGAATAACACAGCAGCATGGTTTTTTAATGAAATAAAGAACTCACAAATATTTGATTGAAATAAACTCAATGCTAAAGGCTTAGATTGGGATTTATCATTTTATTGCCAAAACGCGGGTAACAATACAATGAAGATTTTAAGGAATACTCGCTGGCTGGTGCAGCCAAACTTATGTCAAATAAAACAGCGAAGCAGTTCATTTTTTATTCCTAGAGAATAGCTACTCCTCAAGAGTAGCCATTGTAACTTTTTTTGAGTTCGCTAATGCAACTACACAATGTTTGGGAATACTCTTTAAAGTAATAAATAATTAAAAACTTAAGTCAAACTCGTATTCAACAATAAAACTATCCCTTTATTTGGCTAACGAAGCCGAATCTGTACATCATAATCACACTGTCAAGAGCTCTTAGAATGTCATTATTTTACGCGAAAATTGACTATCCCAGGATTTGCCTCCGTAACATTTATCATTATTATCATTATGCAAATATATTTATGATGCCTAATAGGAAAATTCAGTCTATAAATTAAAAGAATTTGTTTTGGAATGAGTGGTTATGTCCTTAACTTGAAATCTGAACAGGTTTTCGACTAACCTCGCTTTCACGGTTATTGCCTTGTATCGGAGTTGTTTTCTAGGCTGATTTGCTAGATCGTTTAGCTCAGTTTTTGAGGAGTAGGGTTGAGGGAAAAGCAAAAGATCTAAAAATTGGATGGTCAAAGACTGCACGTGGCTACTGGTATAGCGCATTTGTAACATTGGAAAGAACTAGAGGTTGTATGATGACGCTATAAGGTAGTGTTCCAGAATATTTGTCTCGTTTGCAAAACAGAGCACCGCTGCATCCTACACATTTCCATTTTTGAGACATTTGTATTAGGATATTCCGTCATTCTGCGTCTTGATATATATTCTTCTGAACTACACATTTTTCAGAACTAGATTCCTCATCATGAAATTTTTCGCTTTATTATTTCTGTCCAAGCAATCATTTTAGTTTTTGTTTTCAGGTTTATTGGTCAGGGTTCAAACTATACAAACTCAAATAGTCATGGGATATCACGTTGTTAATGACACTGCAAATTTTTAGTGACTTCTTTTGTATGACAACTCTTAGGCCGTCCAACATTTAGATAGAGAGGCTCTTTGCCTTGTCAGATTAAGCTAATTGAGAACTGAATTGAGAACAAAACTGTTTCCAACCTTCTTTCGTTTTGTTTTGTTGTTGCAAAGGCCTTCATCGCTTGATTACTTAAACCGTTGTTGAGTCCCCCTAGCAGCCTGTACTCGAATCTGGCAAAGCTCAGTAGCGGATCTAAAAAGGGCCAAAGACCAAAGGTAGGTACATTGTAAAAGGGCCTAGCCAAAGGTAGGTACACTGTAAAAGGGCCTAGCGAAAGGTAGGTACACTGTAAAAGGGCCTAGCCAAAGGTAGGTACACTGTAAGGAATTTTATTATTTGAATAGTTTTCAACGGTCATAGGTCACTGAGTTTCGTTAAGCCAACCAGAGAACATTCCTAAAATCTTTACGTGTTCATACTTGCGTATTGGCGATAAAATAATACTTACAGGTTGTATAAGAAATTTTCACACATTGATTTATCTATGGATGACTGTCTATTAACAGTTACATAGTTTTTATCTTAAAATGACAAGTTAGAGGCAAGTTTGCAAAAGAGCTTTTGTACTGGACCAGTCTAAAATTCTTAGACTTATTGATGATAACGAACTCGAGAGGTTAAATTTAAGTGTCAAAATGCTATCAAATTTCTGGGGCGATACAAACCTGCCAGAAGGTCAATCCAAATTGAAAGTCTTTCTTAGTCAGAGCTTGCAGACTATGGAATAAATTATCTTTAGAATTAAGACGTAAAGATTTCTCTTCCTGCATTTAAGAAGAGAGGCACAGATATCAAGTAACGACTAAACTGAGATATCAACTTTACTAGTGATCGAACTTAAAGGGAGAGACAAGACGGTTACTTTCTGATATCATCTGATACCGTAGCAACTGATAAAGCATTATCTTTTATAACTTTTATATTTTTTTACTTTATGGTACAAGAGCTTGGCCTTCAGACGGCTTACTCTGGTGACGGTGCGGTGTACAAGTATATCAGAAAGATAATGGCCCTACCATTCCTTCCGTTTGGAGAGATCCTGCCAATGTTCGTCTGCATCGAGCCCCAGGCCAAAACAGAACAGCTGAGGAGTCTTTTTGACTACGTCAAGCGACAGTGGATCGAAAACCAGGTGTTTACTCAAAGAAACTGGTGCCTCTACAAACAGCCGATCCGGACAAATAATGATCTTGAAGGTTGGCGTAACGCACTCACTCGCCGAGCGGGGGAACAATGCGGCTTGCCGATGTATTGATTAATCGAGTTGCTTGATAGGGAGGCAAAACTTACAGCCGTGACAATCAGGCTTGTATCAGGCAATAAACTTAAAAGAATCGAACGTAGTGTCACTAGGAATATCCAGGCTAAGCTATTTGCAAGCTGGAAAAAGTACGAGAACAACGAAAAGACTGCCGCCCAACTACTCAAAACTTGTTCTCGGGCTAACGGACCAGCTCGTGCGAACTTAAACTTCGCTGTAAATATGAAAAATTGGTTTCAGATAAGTATTTCATAGGTTTTTTGTGCTTGTAAATATTTGATACTTTATATTGTAATAAAATTGCTGTTGTTATTTAGTTGAAGTTCCATTTTATTTATTACTCGATGATAAGGCTGGAAAAATTGAAGATATATAGAATGTTAATTTACATCGTAATACATTAATGAATTGGTGCGGTAGTTGCAATAACTGTGAAAACGTGCAAATTTATCTGAAGTCAGTCAAGCGAAACTGGCAGTGACTCAAGGATCACGATTGCATTTTAAACATCAATAAGCAACTTTTTTTTTTCGCTAGTCTTGGATATCTGACGTTGGCAAATTGACCAGTAGGACGTTGGCGAATCGACATAGGACGTTGGCGAATCAACCTAACACGTTGGCGAACAAGACGTTGGCGAAACAACTCGTTGGCGAAAAGACCGCAAATCGTAGCCCTACGGTAGAGGGTAATCGAACGAGTAAAATATTCATATTTGAGAATAGCTAGTGTTTAAATGGACCATATTTTGTTCCCCGTACTATTCCTGATAACGCGTTCAAATCCTCAACGGTTGCTCGGGTAATTAACTTCACGTCACACAGCGCGTGACGCGTTCATGAAATAATCCCTCGCTTTTGCTCAAGACGTGAGCTTAGGGCGGCTGTGGTATGACATTGACAAATTGTATGGAGGGAACATAATGATAATCTTTAATACATCTCGAACACTGGAGTAAGTTTTGAAATCGAATGATATATATTATTGATGTTTGCAAGTATTGTTATTCTAATGTATGTAATGTTCATCGCATTAAAACATATTTACCGACTCTACGAAAATTTTAGTGAATGCCTTTGTTGCCTCAAGACTTGACAAATATAATTCGTTATTATCCAACTACACTCCGTTGAATACAAATAACGCCCAAGACGAGTACTAATCTCACGCGGTGCTTGTACTCCAGAGAACCAGTTAGACAGGTTTTCTCGCATCGCGCAGGCGACGAACTGGATTAAAGTTACAAAAAAAAAAATTGGAGAACAATTTGAGTTAGTTTTTGACCACGAAGATTCGGAATGGCTGGCGAATATTGATCTAAGCTTAGATAAATCGAGCGAAGAAAGGCAGTTAGACGACAATTGAAATAATGCACCTAAATAACAATTTGGTGTGTGATAATAGGTAAATTAATAGACGTTTGGGTGTGTCGTATTGCTGAGTATCTTTACTCGTTATTTGTATTTTGACTCGCCTTATGGGCTCGTCAAAATATGACACAACTCGCAAAAATACACAGCGATACCACACAACAAAATAATAAGACATATTTATTATACAGTCTACCTCGCTGCCTTTTATATAAATTACAGCTCTTGCAGAATTGTGCCGCTCGCTTAATTTTAGTTGGCTGAAAGTGTGATCATATCAAGTTATATCACGCCATTACTCAGTGAGCTTCATTGGCTGTCCATGGAACATCCTATTACTTTTAAATTACTTTTAATAACTTTTGCGTCTCTGAGTAACTTGGCTCCTTGTTAAATTGGGGACCTTCTGCATATATACACTCCAAAATGCGATGAAGGTCTTCACCTAGTTTTTAACTTCAAGTTCCTCCTTCTCATCTCCATTGGAAAAACCCATGTAAAGGATAATTCCTTATATAGAAAACCTTTGCATGCATTATTGTTAATCTATTAACTGTTTTGCGCAATAAGATCTCAAAAGAAGATGTTCTGTTTACATTTTTCTCATAAAACCTCTAAATACGAAGAAATTTTGTCATTTAGAGCAAGCTTTCATATATCAGACTGCTGACAATACCAATCATTTCTGCCTGTTTTATTAATCACTTTGTTCACTGAGTAAGGTCTAGCTTAGATGCGTTTCCCAAAGCGCCAGCCCGGGTTGCGAATCGCACAAGACTGATTTCTTACAACCTACAATCGGTGATTGGTGATTACTGTTATCGTTCAGTTACAAAAATGCAACATCAAATGGGGGGAGGGTCTTGACAATCTACAAATAATAGTGATATACTGCACATTTAATAGAAGTACTAAACACAAAATGTTAATCAGAATGTAAATTGATCAAAGGCACACTCTACGAAATACTTTCACTACCATTTTTATTTTTATTATCATTATTGTAATATTTCTTTCTAAGATTTACCCTCTGTCCTTGCTAGCTCATGTATGTCGCTGCCACACAGTTTTCTACCCTGGTCCTGGTCAGTAAAGGGAACACACAGCGAAGAGTTGAGGCAGTTATTGGATGCGCTTTGAAGGTGATCGTTATTCTGTGAGCTGATACTCACAACTAAGGTCCATCCACCACCTGACTAATGATAAGATGAAGCGAAATTATAACATAGCGCGCGCGCTAGTCTTATCTAGTTCCTATTGCGTCAACAMGAACAAAATCTTTATGTACGCACGGCCGTGCTCAATAAAATGGCGTGTGCAGTTTCAAAATAGCCGCAAAATTTCCGTCGTGTAAGTTCCTTAAGTTAATGCAGGTCCAGGATAGGGAAGAATTAGAAGATTTCGTCGTTTCTCCATACGCTAAGAGGCGCGACGGGCAGTAAGTAAATGCATTGTGTCTCTCTTAGGATCTCATCTCCATGAATCAAGATTTTTCCACATTGGTTTACCAACTCTGTGCACTGCAGGTACCAAAACTCATTTTTTTGATGACTAAAGAATGAGTTGCAGGATGAGTTGCCCGCGGTAAGCCTCGTGCAGCTTACCGCGGGCACTCGGTTAGACGTTATACGCGGGTTTCGCATGGGCTAGTGGACGTGCAAGTAAAGAATGTGTAAGCTCGCGGTTTGAGCGGTAAATTATAATGATTAGGTTGTAGTTGAAAACATTATTCATTCTCGGTATTTTGCAATTACTTATTAACTTGTATAACTAAAATAGTCAGAGCTTCAGCTTTGTCAACCGGAAGAAATCATTTAAATTCGATTTTCTGTTGAAAGGAAAACGACAATCAAACCAACTTCATTCAGCGAAGTTTGGAAAAGTAGGAATCTTGACGTGTTCGTTCAATGTGACCACTCGTGTTACATGCGAAGATACCTGATACTTGGCTGTGGTGGTCGTATTAATTCTACAAGTGTTTTAGTTTCCAGAAAAACACTCCAGTCCTACATTAATTGCGAACATACAAAACTACTAGCTGCTTCTTCTAAAGTGAAATTTACGAACACAGGTGACTTGATCACTGAAATTACCAAATATTGTACATACTTCTTACGCGGATAGGTGATAATCTATTTAGCGTATGAAATTTTCCGTGGAAACGACCCGTTTGGTCTGATCTATCGGAGAATACATCTGTGTAGATCCATTTAGACCTAGTGATGTAATTGCCTTTCTCTTTTTTTTTTATTTGATTTGTTTCGGTTCTTCAACATGTATTTTACTTGGTTAATGTCTTGTTTACATCACTTGTTTAGCAGAATTTAATGGAAACGCAGTCGAGATGTTCTTGGTGGCTTAACTTAGTTCCCACTATTTTACGAGGTGCGCCGCCAATGCATTGATGAAAAGGCAATGTTTGTTCGTGGGGTTTGTCTCCAGATTTTGGCATGTGTCGAACAAGACTGGAAGGTTTACTTTTATTGTTTTATCATTATTATTTCATGGAACATTAAAAACCAATTTACACAACCCGCATATAGCATTAGCTAGTCTTGGCGGTTATTAGTAATAAATAAGTAAAAACTAAATATTGTAAGCTAAAGGGATTTCATTACTACTACAATGTTACTGCAGTTATAAGCTATGGATTAGTTTACTACATAATAAGCTAAAAGATACGTACGTACAGTAATCATACAATTACAGGTGGTCGCATTTTGCGTTAAACTACATTGGATTTATTCAAGTTTGCTATCCATGAATGATCACAATTTGCTGTGAGTCAGGTTGCACTTAACGAATGGGTAATTGATCTCTAACAAGTTACTTTGCCCAGTTGATATGAATTAATCTATAGTTATTAATAGTTTCCACGGATCTCTCGAATCTTGCACCGAATCGATATTCCCCACGGTATGTGTAATAAAGATCACTCTCAAGATAAGTGAGAAAGCAAGCAATCCTATATTTAATCGTTTCTTTATCTATTTTTTAAAATTTTACATTTGTATATTGATTGACTTATTTTNGATGATTCAACCTCACTGCATTACCCTTAATTGCAACTAAAACAACGCTGCCACTGAGAAAAAGCAGCAGAATAGCGTATAACCAGTCTTTCTCATGAAAGGCAAAATTTGATATTTTTCTTAAAGTTTACTCATTGGTTTGGATTCATAAAGGGAACTCAGAATTATTCCTTTATCTCACGCTCATGACAAAACGAAAAGCATCTTTCTCTCTTTCTTTACTGAGCTCAAAATTCACCGTTTTCTTATTCTATTTTCAACTTATTCATTGCTTTCGATTTCATCCTTTTGTGTACCTACCATGATTTTTCATGTCACAGTAGACGTCTGCGTTTCTGCTCCCAATATTTATCCAGTAGTAGCCGCTTTCCGCTTGGGGCCACTTATTAAGAATTTCCGAGCAAGATTTGAATTCTTCATCCTGTGGATTATTTATTGTAGATGGTTATTGGCCAGAATGCTTCTGTCAGCTACTCAATTATTTACTTTTTATGCATGTTCTTATCTGTTTACTTTATTTCACTATTGCAAATTTAGAGATTCTATGGGCCACGCAGTATTTTAACTTAGAACGACCCAAGCATTACGGTGGGTCGATAACGCAACTGCTTCTTATAAATCAATTACGATATTGTCAGCTTTTGGGAGAGGATTTATTCACTAGTTGGACGTGGTTGCGAAGCAAACGAAACCTGAACGATAGTGAACTTTTCTCTAAAGTTTGGACAAAAGGCTGAAACAGACTGAGGAAGAAATCACACTTTTATTTTCTTTTTATAGAACTCGTTAATGGCGTACCTTGTCCATATAGACTGATCCTTCCTTCGGACCATAATCCCTTGGGTGGGTATGTTTGTTTGCATTATTCCAATCACATGACTTATCTTTTAAATGGAAGTTCAAACTCTTGCAGCGAGACTCCCTCGAACAGATCATCACACACTCAGTAATACTCGAAGTTTTTCGAGTTAAAACAACGTGACTGGAAAGATGATGACCATACTCTGAATATGTGGAGCGATGGCACTGCTCAAAGGCTTGGCATATCTGTGCAAGGCATAGGATGATGAACAGAACGAAACAACACAGCAGCATGGTTTTCTAATGAAAAGACGAAATAACAAATATTTGACTGAAATGAACTGAATGCTAAAGGCCTAGATCGTGATTTGTCATTTTACTGCCAAAAAGGGATTGATTATGAATACGAAGTGAGAAGCTTTATGGAATACTCGCCGGCTGGCGCAGCCAAACCCGGCCAACCATGACCGTTGGATACCTCTCAAATAAATATAGTTCCTCAAAATGTACCTACCGTATTTGAGACCCCTTTCAGATGATCCAGAGTAGCTTGCAAAATTCGAGTATAGACCGTGAGTAGGACTCAACAACGGTTTTTGTAATCCAGCTAAAGAGGTCCTTTCTTACAAGATAACTATATGAAAGTTACTGCGCTTCGAAAGAGAAGCTAAAACCAACGATATTTCTCTTAACGTCTCATTAAAGTAAATCGTGCAACACAAATAATGTCTGTTTCTAAATAGTGGACAGCCTAACATACTTCATACAAAAGATGACATTAAAAATTAACAATGTCATTAACCACGCGAAATCGCACAATTCTATTTATCTATTTTCAACCTGGCCAGCAGACATGAAAACTAAATGTTTGGTAAAAACCGTGACGGTTGTTGGGGTGGAATTGACTTGTAGAACGATTATCCTCATCGTTTTGCCAATTGGTGTTCAAACTCTGCGTTGTATTGATTTCCACTCCATCTTTTCGAAGAAAAGACACTTTTTGTTGTTTCATTAAACAATTGCCACCGCTGTGTACTTGATACATGCACTATCTTGGATTGTTTTTTCGGTATTGCTGTTTAAAGTGCAACAACTAAGCGGAGCAAAAACGATCAATGGAAAAAAAAAAAAGTAGTTAACTTACTTTCCCTTATGGCATCCTGAGTTGAATCTGTTTGACCCACTGGGTATCTTAAGAGAGAGTAAAAGCGAGACTATCTTGCGTTATGGTCATGTTTAGCTTATTTAAAGTTTTCATTTTCATAAATTAACAACTTGCCGATTCATGTTCTCTGTATCAACATGTTGCTCTTTCACCAAGGGAAAGGAGGAGATATTTGAGGAAGGCGTTTTGGTTGATATTGTTTGCAATATTCTAACTGATTTTATTCTTCTTTTGAGAAATTTTGTGTTAAATGTAGGAGTTAATGTATTGGTTTTGAATGAATTTTAACCCCTTCCATCACTTTTATTCGTGTGGTCATTTTTGTATGAAATGACAGGCTGAAGTTGACATCAAATAAAAAGAAATCTCCTTTCAGATACTCACAACGAACAGAATTATCACTAAAAAAAGAAGAAGCGGTCAATAATTTGGAAATAGATAAGTCCAAGAGTAAAATATCAAGGATTAATGCTCAGATGAATGAGAAATTTACCTGATAAAATACTGTATGCAAGAGAATTCCATCACTTCGTAGCACATCGACCCTAAAGGTTCCTAAAAGGACACAAACATAGATTTGATTGTGATGCTAAGAGGTGTTTCGTTGCCCACTATTAGGTGATAAGAGTCTAAACCCTTACATTTCTGAAACAACCACTGATATATACGTGTAAAAGTAACGTTGAGTTGTTTTCAGTCACCACTGATAATTTTTGTCCGTCCACCATTACGATTCTACTCTTCGTTCATTAAATGACCCTTAGGCATCTATTGTTTACAAGCCTGTTACTGTTCGCCCGCCTGTTACTCTTCGCCCGGGTGCGCCTTGGTTTACTGAGGAGATGAGATCGACGAAAAACTTGAGAAGAAAACTGGAAGCTGAAAATGGAGTAGCACCAGGAGTGACCTCAGCAATTGTTTGAATATGGATTAGTGTTGAATAGTTAATTATTTGGTTCGTAATGCCAAAGAAATTTTTTTTTCCTCTCTTATTGAGAATCACTGTGGAAACCAACGGGTTCTTTTTCAAGCCATCAACAATCTTCTGAACCTTAATATCATGCATCCAATATCTGATGCTGGTTTAACTGATCTCGAAATGATTGGAATAGGAGAAAAATACCAAGTATGGAGCTGGAAAGAGAAGGAGATAGATAGGGCGAACTAGACCTGAGGATAAATGTATGATAAATGATGTGCCATTTGAAATCACTACTACAAGCAAAGAATCTTAGCTGAGTAGAGAACATTCTTCCCAAATTGAGAGTTTTGGTTACAAAAGTCACATTGTTCTGCAGTATATTTGAATGCCTCTTTGGGAAGATTATCAACTAGTTTATCAAGACCTGAACTCTTAAATTGAAAGCTATCAATGAAAGTGAGATGATTTCCAATCATAGAGGCCATATATTTTTCCATATCATTTGAAATTGCGTTAATGTTCATTTCACATTCTTCTCCTCTTTTATTCGTATATTTATTATTCTTAACAATGCAATCTCTCCAATTTCTGGCATGATAAAATGAGAATGATAACCTCTCAGATTATGAAATATTACTGGTATTTTATCACTGATTCGAAAGTTCAAATTACAATCTTGATGAGCTGAGCCTCAGTATTTTCCGGTTATGTGGCAATGATCTCTTACTCGAATATCTTCATTGGTTTATAGCAAATAAAAAAATATGCCACAAATGCGGCACTTATCAGCGTTTTGAAATTGTTCCTCATCCTCCTTAGTCATTTTTAGTGGTTTGTTAAATTTCGATTTGATAACCAACTTACAATATCTCACCTCCTTCAGTATCTGTTCCATGAATTTGTAAACAGCTTTCTCGCCACGCTATATTTGAAGAGGTTTTGTATATTTGTCATCTGATTTAATAGCTTTTGCAGCACCTTTTTGAGCGAGATAAGTTCCACTGTTGGCTAATCCTTTGAGAACCATTTCACCTATTGAATGACTGTTGCCTACATCAAATAATGCTCCACCTGATTTATATCTAACGAATTTAGTTTTGGTTATACCACATTCAGCTCAAGTGCATTTTAACATCAATCTACCATTTTTAGCTGGTTCATATCTTTCACTACCTTCTACGCAATCGGTAAATTTTTTTTGCTTGACACATTAAGACTTCATTTATAAAATACCTTTGATATTTCTGAAATAATTAGCTATGATTTTCTCGTTTTTCATCGTGTCATGTATTTCAAACACTTGCAGAAGATCGAAATATGATTTGCCTTTTTTTCATCTCATTCAAGAAATACAGACAAAAGTATCCACAAGTCGTTGTTTTAATATTTTGAATTTGATCGTTCTGATGAATGAGTCAGTTTCTTCTTTTTACCATGATCAACTATTTCTTGAAATGGTGGCATTCCAAATGAATCGAAGTAATTGATGACATTATCTTTAACAAAAGTTGTT